TATTGGTGTTTGTTTTTTGAGCCAATCTGCATCTCTGTGTCCTTTTTATTGGTGAATTCAGTCCATTTTCATTTGGGCAATTATTGAAAAATGAGGTCTTCTTATAGCCATTTTATCTTTTGCTTGCTTCTGGTAGCTCGGTGTTTCCACTGTTTCCTTGTCCTTGTGTTTCTGTTTTCTTTATTTTGGTTGGCTTTTGTGGTTTTTCCCTCTGGTTCTTCTTGTTTTATGTTATACACTTCAATTCTGACTCTATGGTGTGTGATTACCATTATGAATATGAAAAGGGTAGTTATATATACAGTCATCCATTTTCTTCTGCACATGCCTTATCTCTATTCCCCTTTACAAATTTGGATCTTTGAATCCTCCCCTTTTAATCATTGTAGTCTCAATTTGTCCCTATATATGCTGAACGTTCTTTACTATCTTGCTATAGCAATTCTCTTCTTAATATTTAAGCTTATAATGCCCTATTCTTAGTAAAGATTGCATTCCTCTGCTTCTATTTGCTTGATAGTCACCTTACTCCTAATTATGAATTTTTTTTTCATTTCGTTTTAGGTAAGATGACCACTTTCAGTATTTCCTGTAGTGCAGGCCTTGTAGTGGAGAATTCTCTCAGTTTTTGTATGTCTAGAAAGGTCTTTATTTTTCCTTCATATGTACAGGAGAGCTTAGCTGGATACATTATTCTAGCCTGATAGTTTCTTTCACTTAATAGTTTGAATATTGGATTCCACTTTCTGCCTGGCAAGGTTTGTGCTGAGAAGTCCGATGACAATCTAATGGCTTTTCTTTTATGAGTTACTATTTTCTTCTCCCTGGCTGCCCCTGAAAATTCTGTCTTTGTCATTGACTTTTGATAACTTTAATACAATGTGTCTTGGCGAAGGCCTTTTTGGGTTGAAATAATTAGGCGTTCTTTTGACATCTTGAATTCCAAGCTTCATCTCAATTTTAGATTTTGGAAATTCTTGTCAACTATTTGTCTGAAAATGCTTTCTAGTTTCTGTTCATTTTCCTCACCTTTGATAATGCCCATTATCCTTATGTTTCCTCCCCTGCTGGTATCAGCTTGTTCTTGTATTTCTCTTTCATTATTTTTCATTATTTGGTTTCTCTCTTCTTCTTTCTTATTTATTTCTAGATTTCTGTCTTCAATATCACTGATCCTTTCCTCCATTTGGTCGACTCTATTTCCCAAGCTTGCTATTTCATTTTTCAACTCTTGCAGTGTGTTTTTTATCTCCAGAAGTTCTATTCTGGTTTTTTTTTTTTGAGGGTTTCTATCTCCTTGCTAAAGAACTCATTCTGCTCATCTAGTTGTTTTTTTTAATTCCTGAAATTATTGATATGACTCGTTTTGGAACTCATTGAGTTTTTTCAGAAGTATCATCTTGTTTCTCTGTCATTTAAGTCACATATTTCTATGTCTGTAAGCTTATTTTCTGTAGATTTTTCTCTTTCTTTCTGAGAGGCCTTGTCACTTTGTTTTCATGGTGTTTAATAAACTATTTCTCCACCTGGGCATTAATGAATGTGTATTCTACTTTTTTTCCAGAAAGATTTATTATATAAAGGACTCTCTTCAGGCTGTTGCAAAGAAGGCGCTTTTCTTTTGGTTTCCAGTAGGTGGCGTCTAAGCCTCTTGGATCCCTGCTTTATATAAAGCCTTAATAATGCCATTTTTTCTCTTATTGATGTTTAATCATGCTTGCTACCCTCTCTCAGTCCTTGTCAGTGTTAGCGACAGTTTTGGTAGCATTTGCTCAGATTCCCCTGGGCTCTGCAGTGTTTGGTCTTGGATGGAATGGAGGTAGGGGCCCTCTGGGTCGGGGGGTGTTGGGGGCTGCAACTCAGCCTCCGTTTTGCAATCCCGGCCAGTAAAAATCAACTGTTGTTTCTTTGCCATCCTGCTTCTCTGCTTTCTGCCCTTAATACTGGGCCTTGCCCCCGGATGCACGGAAATCACAGCATTCCCAGGTAGGGCTGTTCAGAGAAGCCACTGCACCTTCTCTCCTCCCCCAACCCCCTCTGCTCCCAGGGAGCTCTGGCGGCTGCAAGAGGCATCTTCTTTATCTTTCCCAGTCTACTGCCCAATACTCTTATGTGCAGATCCCATGCTCAGACTTGCTGGTATGCAGTTTGGATATTTTTTGGTTGAGTTTTAGATATTTAGCTTATTGTTGTTTCAAGGGGAGAGATCTGGGGATGTCTCTCATTCTACCATGCTTCTTCTCCAATATTGAAGTAGAGATTTTTTAAAAATTACAAGTTGGTGGTGAATATAATTTCTTCTAATGAATCTGAATATCTAGATGAAATGATGGTTTTCTAATAAATGACCAAAATATGTAGAAATGAGGAGAGGGCTGAGCAAGGACTTTCATCTTTTAATCTATATACTTCCAGGATTTTGAATTTTACATCAAGCATATCATTCTTTTATAAAAAATAATAAGAAAACTTATTGCATTTTTTAGGGTTAACTTTGTTATCTAGTGTCCAGGAGGAACAATTTGGTGAAGTCAGTGTGCCACAAAAACACCCTAGAAACCAATGTCTTCATATCCAGATTGAAGATAGAACAATGTAGGTTGCTATGGAGGACATTTTGGGAGCTTTCGGGCCTTGTCTATCTCTCTCTCAAATCACATGACTGAATAGGCTGGTTTTTCTTATATCACTGTGAAAGATAGCAGACTTCAGAGAATTAATTCAGTTAAAATGCACACTTATTGTTGGTGCTTCTGTCATTTTAAATATGACAAACATTTGTATGAAGTGTTAAGAGGCATTTCTAATGTGATTCTGTTTGAGCACTGCCATGGCCAGCCTCACCACAAAATCCATCACTGTGGCCGTGCTCTTCTAGGATTTCTGAGGAACAGTCTACCACTTTTTCCAATGTCTTGAAGAAATGTATTACAATGGTCCTCAGCCCGGGGAAAGCCCATGACTGTCATGAAGTAGCAGTGACCAACAGTTCAAGAGATAATGAAAAGAACCTGGCTCCAATGAAAGAGTCCCTTATATGAATGACTTGAATTACCGGCTCTGCTTCTTAATAGACTGGTCCCTGCTCAGTCCCTTTGAACAGAAGACAGACTCACAGAATGCTTCTGTAGACACAACTGCCCTAATATTTTCCCTTTGCTCTTTCTTACCCTATGTCTTATCAGAGCGGGAAGCAAATGGGCTTGGCTTACCTGCACGTCATGTTAACTATGTTTCACTGTGGAGAAAGCAAGATGTTTACATTATATGTGAGATCCTTGCAATACTGCCTTTAGGTGGGTTAGGCAGGAGTTAGTATTTCCATTCACAAGGTAAGGAATCTGAACCTCAGGAAAAAAATTTAACGTGGGTGGAATGGCCAACCACAGGTTACATATGTTAATTATGTGTTGCAATTCAGTACTTTACTTAATCTCACTTTACTCACATATTAAGCAGCTGTGCAGTTCAATAATGACATGGAACTTTATTTCTTGTTTATCGTAGGGTTCATTTATTGATTTTCATGTCTTTTTTTTTCCCTCACAGTTAATCTCCAGTCATGTGGCTTTGTGGTATATCAAAACAGCAAGCTTTTCCAATCAAAAACTTTTACAACTAAATCAAATTTTAGTCAAAAAATTATCTCTGGCACAGTTAATAAAAACGAAAAAAATCAGAGTCCTTCTGTTGAAATGGTCTTTCGTCCACAGGTGAGTTTTTCTGTTAACAAAAGTTAAAATTTCTGCCAACTCTTGATTACAAAAACAAGAATACTTTGAGCAAAAGAAATCCACAGAAAAACTCTTTGAAAGTATTAATTTAACCTTCTACCCACACATATTTTCTATAAGACTAGCTAACTGCAAAATTAGCTAATTTGAATTTTATATCCTTTTTCCCTTTCCAATCTATAATGAATATGTTATGCTTAGTACACATCTAACTGATTTCTCATATGCTTATCTTATCCTATTTGATTTTTTCTACCCAATTAAACATTAAAAAATCAGTTGCAATTGTCTTCTTAATTCACAGTATAACGCAAAAGAATTTCAACTCCATTCCTATGCCTGTGTCTATTGGAATTTTTCAATGAAGGATTGGGACACAAATGGCTGTTACAAAAGGGGAAGCGATAATGAATTCTTACGCTGCTACTGCACACATACCACTAATTTTGCTGTATTAATGGTAAGGGTGTACATAGTAATTTTTTTCCAGACAAGAATTTTCTTTATACACAATTTTGGTATGTGCTAACCTTGGGGTTTAATTTACATAATACTAAACTCAGATTAAATGAAAAAATAGGTAATGGAGAGATAAGATTATAAAGGGAAGTGCTGGTAAAGGCAAGTAGAATATGGTTGTTTTGCTTTTTTTTTTTTTTTGCAGTTATGTCTCAGGATAGATGAGTTCAGCACTGTGTGTTTAATGAGAAGGGAGCCCATGTGCAAAAGAGGAGCTGACAGACTCCATTTAACTAACTTGCATGTTCTGAAGCATGAAGTTGTTCTAGCCAGAGGCAAGGCTGTAGAGCTGTGCACTAGGGAAAGGTTCAATATATGGGTGGTCAGTTTAAATCAGCAACTGAAAGTTTTTCAGTTGTAATCATCTCGCAATGATTGTTTTCCACTGTAATCAGTTACTAAGTTTATGCTAGAAGATGTAAGAGGAAAAACTCTTGAATTCATTCAATTGTCCCATAGTTTTTGTGTGTATTCTATGTGTCACTGATTAACACTTTGCTCTGGTGTGCAGCTGTATTGCACCTCTGAAAGTTCTTGGGCTGACTCTTCTTTTTTTGTTTTGTTTTGTTTAACAGTAAGGCATATATATATTTACACTGTGTGTTCACCTCCCATAGTCAGGTTTCTTTCTGGGCTGACCCCTCTTAGAAGAGGACTTCTGTTTGTTTCATTTTCAGAAATCTATTATTCTGGTGAAACCAAAAAATGTTAGTTTATATATTTGATGGAATGCTTTTATATGCAGGAGAATAGGTGTCTCACCCTTATTAAGGGGCTATTAATGCTATGAATCTCCCAAAGAGAAGTTTTCATTCCTTAGTAGCTATGATGTAGCTGTATTTGAGAAGCCAATAGAGATCAAAACATACTGGTACAACATAGACTATCAAATTAGAGAACATTGCTTTAAAAACATTTTCAAGATAACTACACTTTTCTTATTTTAATTATCAAATCTTTCTTATTTTTAATCGATTTTGATTGTTTATTTTTTAACTCGTATTACACAGAGATCTGCTTTCTCAATCAGAACACAATAAAGATAAACTTTTAACTTTTTTTGATAGCTTCAGGTCATTAGTATCATTGAATAGTTGTAGAAAGCTCAGAGAGCTATATGCTAAATAATACAGAATACATCATCATAGTTATCTTATTTTCCTTTTTTGAGGTCAGGCTTTCAGCTATTCTTTCTCACTAATATCTGAATCTGCCTTAATAACTACCTACTCACATTTATAATTAGTTTTGGGTTGCAAAAATTTTTAAAAGGCCACTTAGAAACGTATGTAAAGTAAGAGCAGATAGGCTCTAAGTTAATAGATGCTTTCTATAATCTGAAGATCTAGGTATTCCATGATTTTTTTGTCATCTACTTTGTATACTGCAGATAGGAAGAAACATGAGATTTTTGTTTTATTATTATTTAAAATTAAGTTTATTTTATTTTTATTTTCTTTCTACAAAATCATTGCATAAAGTATGAAGGTTTACCTACTGAATAGAAATATACTGATATGGAAAAACATTTACGAGGTCTTAAATAGCAATTCAAGAATGATTCTATTATTTTAACATTATATTATATTATTTATATATTTGTGCAAGAGACACAGATAATATTTGTAAGCACATAAAAAAAGCCACCTCTAGAGACAGACTTTCAAGAGGCAGGGTATGATGTGGGATAGCTGGCAGTAAAGAGAAATATGTCCTTTTTTATTTGTTTCTATATTGCTTTCATGTTTTATAAATAAGCATTATGGCTTTTTAAATTTTAACAATTAAAAATTAGAAAGTACAGATAAGTAAGAAGAATTATATATATCCTACCCACCTAGTGATTACTGCTATTACCTCTCTAGACCTAATAGTACATACTCACATAAAATATACTTTTTTAATGGATATGCACTAAAATATTGAGATAGATAGCACACAAAATTAAACCACCTTTAAAAAAATGACAGGATCTTATTAACATCTTTCCATGTCCTTTAAAATATTTCTGCAACTTTATTTTTAGGACATTATCTTAGATATGCTAATTTCCCCTTGGATTATGGTTATACATAAAAAGAATGTAATGGAAAAATGAAGCAACTCTAGCCAATTTAGATGTAATTCAAATAACTTTGATTTTAGACATTGAGGAATATTATATGTTTTCCTTTTCTGAATTAGTTAAATAAGTGTTCTCAAGCCCAACTTTATGTAAAACTACTTAGCGATAAAGGATTAGTTCCTATAAAATATATCAACAGTTTTATAAACTGAAAGCAACAAATGAACAAGACAAACAACAAAAACTCATAGACACAGACAACAGTTTAGTGGTTACCAGAGGAATGGGGGGAGGAGGGAAGGTAGATAAGCGTAAGGAGAGTCAAATATATGGTGATGGAAGGATATTTGACTTTGGATGGTGATCACACAATGCAATATACAGATAATGTATTATTGAATTGTACACTTGGAACTTCTATAATTTTATTAACCAATGTCACCACAATGACATTTTTTAAATTTGGTAGGTTAAGAAAAAAAGAATACATATCTGGCACCTATCTGGTTATTTTGACCAATGTAATTTTCATGATGTTGACTTTCATAGACATTTCAGGAATGGTTATTTAAAAATATTGGTCTTGACTTATTTTCCAGAGTTTCAAAGGGAGCTATAACTATCCCGAATCACTAAACACAATATCCAACGTTGGATGTACGCTGTCCATTATTTGTCTGGTTCTCACAATTATATTTCAGATTGTCACCAGGTAAGACGGGAAGCTGGCTCTTCTCATGAGAGAAATTGCTATCCTGATATTATTTCCTCTCAGTATATTCTCATCAGAATGCAGTTCCTTGAAACTAGAAGGGAAATCAAATGTAGTTCAACATGCTCCTTTTACAGAAGACACTAGGGCCTGGAGAGACTAAAAAATACACACAAATAAATATGTAATTACAAACTGTGGCAAGTGCCTTGAAGGAAAATTACATACCATGTAATTACAAGTTTTTATGTAAAGTAAACATAATCTTGTAGCTTATTAATGCCACAGTTCCTTTGTATTGAATAGAACCATAATTACCAATTTGTATTTGTAAAAGAAAGAAATATTACTAAACAGCAAAGTTTTTGAAAATAAAAGTAATTTAAAAAACATATTAAGTTTCCAAATGGTGAAAATTTTTAAAGCATTTGAACTCCATAGTTTAAAAAAATTTAATCAAAATTACCTATAAACGCACATGTCTCTCCACCTTAGCTCTCTCACTCAAGGTTGGATTTTGTATAGCTCTTGTTATTTTTTGTTACATGCTACATTTTTAACAATATGTAAATGTAAGCTTTTTCATTTATTAGTTTACTTGTGTACTATCTGTTTTCCCTATCGGCATGAAAATTGATGAGGACAATGACCTCTTCGATTTTGTTGTTCTGCTGTTCGTTTTGTTTAGTTTTCATCACTGTATTCCCAGGGCTGAGCACAGTACCTGGCCCATAGTAGAAGAATATCTGTTGTGCATTCTGGATCTGTTGTGCATTTCTACTGGGTTCTCAAATGCAAGATATCTCAAAATGAGTTCATCTTTCTTTTTCTTTCTTTCTTTCTTTCTTTCTTTCTTTCTTTCTTTCTTTCTTTCTTTCTTTCTTTCTTTCTTTCTACTAAATTCTCTTATAACTCTTTTCTCAGATGTGTAGAATTAGAATTTTTTATTTTAAAGGTATTGCTGTTTGAAATTTTTTTCTGAAATTTTATTTTTAAAAAACCTACAGAAAAATTGAAAGAGAACTCTGAACACCCATATACCTTTCACCTAGATTCACCAATTATTAATATTTTGCTTTTTTTCTATTTTTTCCTGAAATTCTGAAAGTAAGTTGTAGACATCATGACTGTAACCTCTAAGTTCTTCGAACACATACCACCTAAGAACAATGGCATTCTCCTACATAGTAAAATAGCATTATCCTCACTCAGGAAGTTTAACCCAAGAAATTTAACATTAATATACTGTTATCGTGTTAATATACAATCTATACTCAAATATCTTCCAATTGTCTCAGTAATATCTATTATAGCTGCTTTTTTCTCTCAACTTATTTAGTTGTCATGTCTCTTTAGTCTTCTTTGGCATAGAATAGTTCCTCTGCTTTTTTTGGTTTGTTTTGGTCTTTCATAACATTAAAACTTTTGAGGTGTTCAGGTCAGATATTTTGAAGAAGGCAGAATATTCTCCAACTTAGAGTTTGTCTGAAATTTTCCTCATAATTAGATACAGGTTAAATATTTTTATGAGATACTAAATCATTAAGTCTTTCAGTGTGACACAGCAAGAAGTACATGATATCAGTTTGTCCCATTATTGATTAAGTTTTATTCCTTGTTTAAAGTTGAAATCTGACATATTTCAACACTGTAAAGGTTCATTTTGTCCTTTTGTAAATAATAAGTAATCCATGGGTGATACTTTAAGACTGCGTGACTATTCCTTTCCTGAACTTTTACTCAATGGTTTTGGCATTCTCCAATGATCTTTACTAGAATATATTATTACATTGGTGGTTGAAATGATAATTTTCTAACCTATCATTCTTTCTATTTTTAGTCACTATATTCCCTTGTAAAAGTGTACTCTCCAATGTAACCAGGAGTCCCTTCATCTTGTTTTATCATGTCTCTATCTATCTTTAAACACGTCCTTATTTCAGGCACAGCAAGATGACAAAGACACATCTTTCACTTTCTCTGCCCCATACTCTAGAAACAGCCATTTGTTCAAAGAGCCAGAATTATTTTCCATTCGTCTTCTTTATCTTTCGCACTCAGTGAGTAAATGAACCCATGTGCAAATGTAGAGAAAAAGTTTCTTGAGTTTTTAAAAGTATTTTATTTTAAAAATCATGTATAAATTTTAAAATAATAGGTAAAATATATTTTTTAACTAATTTTAGAATTTTATGTAATAAGTTTTAAACAAAATGGTATCAGGTTTATCTTACATTAGTTAAAAAATATATTTTACCTATTATTTTAAAATTTATACATGATTTTTAAAATAAAATACTTTTAAAAACTCAAGAAACTTTTTCTCTACATTTGCACATGGGTTCATTTACTAAGGTGCAATAGCTTTCTATTTTGAAAAAATTTTAAATCTATTTAGAGCTTTTCTATAGATAGCCTTTGTATGTACTTGCAAATCTAGAGAAGTTACTGTCTATTGAAGTATTAAAAATTGCCTTAAAATTTAGTGGCTTAAAACAAGAATTTATTTCTAATGATTCTAGGGTTTGACTAGGTTAAGCTGGATGGTTCTGTTGGTCTGGCTTAGGGTCTCCCATGAGACTGCAGTCAGGTGGTGGCTAGAGTTGGAGCGATCTGCAGGCTCAGCTGGGATGCTGCAACAGCTGTCTCTCTCCTTAGTCGCAGATTTCCACGAGGTTCTTCGGCACAGTAGCTGGACTTTGCAGGGTAGATCAGAACTCCCGGGAACACAAAACGGAAAGATTTTTATGATATTCATGAGCCCTAGGCACTTTTGCCTCTGTGAGGCTCTTCTTTCCTAAAAATGGATAAAAATTATATTTTATAACTGTATTGGTATAAAGATGAATGTATTAATGTTATATGGTAAAATTTTTCTTTGACCTAAAAGTTCTTTTTTTTTCTTCTGTTTTTAAAAGGAGTTAAAACATTGCTGTAGGCCGTAAAAGTATTGTGGACTCTAAGCACTGCTGTGTCTAATGGATAAATTGGCTCTAGCTTCTAGGCCTTCTGCTGCATTCTATTAGTTAAAACAAGTCACAGGCCAGCCCTGGAAGGAGACAACACAAGGCATAAATACCAGAAAGTAGAGTTCACTGTGAGCCATCTCTGGAGAATAGCTATCACCTTGAATTAGAACACAGTTTTAAGAAAGGATGTGTCAACCTGTTTTTTTCTAACTCGCTTTTTTGTGGAAATGAAATAAGGGCAGAAGATTCTTTTCTGGTGTTGTTGGGAAGGTAGCTTTACCAACTGGCCTGTGAGCTAGCTGGATTTACCACTGAGCTATGAGCTAGCTGGATTTACATTAGATAATCATATTCCTTTGTTCCCTTACAATTTCACTAGAGTGTATGTTTTGCAGTTATTTTGTTTATTTACTTAATTATATTTACCTATTTATTTTCAGGAAAGTCAGAAAAACTTCAATAACCTGGGTGTTGGTCAATCTGTGCATATCAATGTTGATTTTCAACCTTCTCTTTGTGTTTGGAATTGAAAACTCCAATAAGACAAATGGCAGTAACACCAACAATACTGCTTCCAAAAGTAATGTAATACCCAAGAAAGACATCAGTGTTACCTCGAACCTCACATGCACGGTGACTGCTGCCTTGCTGCACTACTTTCTCTTAGCGACATTTACCTGGACAGCACTCAGTGCTGCACAGCTCTATTTCCTTCTGATTAGGACCATGAAGCCTCTTCCTCAACGTTTCATTATGTTCGTCTCTTTAATTGGATGGGGTAAGTGTTTGCTTCTCCACTTACTCAGGAATTTAATTTTGTCAAAATCATTTAATTTAAACAAACATCTATTGAAAGCCTAATGGTAGGAGGCCTTGAGGCAGGGAAGATGGAAAATACAGAAGTCAGTAAGAGTGCCTTCTGCCTAGTAGCTTATATTCCTGTGATCGAGGCAGGTGGATCAAGGCAGCTCTACTAGATGTGTCGTAAGCTAACGTCAAGATGTTAATTTCCTTTAATATGTCTAGTAATTCGATTCAAGATTTAGACTACAAATAACTTTCTAGCTACTTTAAAAGAAATGTTTTAAGAAAGATGGAGTGACTCTTTAAGAAAAATAATTTGAAAATTTATTGGGTTCTAGCAAAGGAGAATTGTTTTGGTGATACCCAAATTTCAATTTATTCAAGTGACAGAGTAATTAGGCTATTTAAGATGGAAATTTTGAGACTGATGCAGTGTCCATTGTGCCAAGAGGGCCACTGATAGATAAAGATGTGGTACGTATATGCAATGGAATATTACCCAGCCATAAGAAGAGATAAAACATTGCCATTTGCGACAACATGAATGGATCTTAAGAATATCAGACTGAGTGAAATAAGTCAGACAGAAATAGTTGAAAATTGTATGATTTCACTCAGATGTGGGATATAAAACTAAAAGCAACAAATAAACAAGACAAACAAAAACTCATAGACACAGACAACAGTTAATGGTTAGTGGAGGGAGAGTGGGGAAGAGGGGAGGTAAAGGGGATCAAATATGTGGTGACAGGAGATTCGACTTTGGGTGGTGAACACACAATGCAATGTACAGATGACGTATTATTGAATTATACACTTGAAACCTATACAATTTTATTAACCAACATCAACCCAATAAACTTAAGTAAAAAATGGAAATTGTGGCCAGAGTCACAAAGAGATAAGAATCAGTATAAGACTGGTATGAAGAGCCAACACTAAAAGGGAAAGGAAAACCCAGAAAAAGTATGCCCACTGTTGACCTATATCTGTGGGATCATTTACGTTGTCTATAGTGGAAAGAACAATACATTCAGAAAAGGGTCAGATGTATAATTCATTCATGGTCTTTTATAATTAATTCTGGTCTTGGGTAAATTGTCAATTCTGTGCCTCTCTTTATCATCTAGGACTCCCGGCTGTAGTGGTGTCTATGACAGTGGGAATTATTTTTTCTCACAATAAGAATGATGACCAGTGGGAGTTAAAATATCGGCAAGAGGAAATGTGAGTTTATATATTTTTAAATGTACATTTCTATGATATAAAATGTAACTATTCAGTGATGTTGAGTCCAAGCGTCACTTTACACATGCATCTCACTTTATAATTGTCATATTATAAGTGGGTATTACAAATTCTCAAAGAACACATTATATTTTAAATATGGTGACATGAAAATTTCCCATGATAAATCTTTTTGTAGTGCAAGTACACCCAAGGGAAAGGTGATGTCAGGGTGCTTACCTATTTCCAGAGTCGACCACGTTCAGCTGTAGAACAGGAGGCTATCTGCCTGGCTTGATTTTAGGAGCCAAACATTCCAGGCACTATTTTCTCTGTTTAATTAGGGTTAAGTATTTTTTGATGAGCTTAAAATGTTAAATTCCACAATGAGAGATAAGGGGTAAGATGCGAATATCTCATGGGAGAAACAATTCACTTCAAATTGTGTTATTAATTTTCTACCCCAACCCAGGCACCGGGTTAAACCTACTCCCATAAAAGCCTTGAGGAGAAAGAAGCCTACTGTCTTAAATTTATTCACACTGAGCTATAAATAATTAAGAGCAGATTCTTTCCTGACTACAGTTAGGAAAGACACTAGGCAACCGATAATAAGAGTTGAGAAGAGAGGAAAGGATGTGTAACTTGAATATCTGTTTCCTCTTGATCCCTTATCCCCTATGTTCTACCTTACACACAGGCATCAAGGGGCACATTTCTTCAGGATATATTTAGAAATAGGAAGGATTTTTTTTTTTTTTTGGTTTTTCTGAGTTATCCTCCCAGAAGTTGCGGCTCAATGTCCCATGCTCTCCTTCACTGCTCCCAGCTCTGCCAGTGATATTCGAAACCCCTAAGCCCGTTCCCCCAACACACTGCTGTCTCTGCAAGGACCAAAGTAAGGGGTGACTACAGAGCAGGCCACACTCCTCTTTAATATTCTATCCCCTGATTCTCTGTACCATCATCATATAGGCTGTTTTCAGACTTCTCTGAAGGGTTGAGGTAGTCATGGGAAATTAAAATGCATGATGGGGAAAGTATTTTAAGTGTATGCTGTAAATATTAAAGCTGTCTTCATGATGTACTTCATGGCAAAATAAACAAGGAGTTAAATACTTCATCTGAGGTCCACCTATGATGCCATCCAGACCTCAGGTCCATAGCTGTTTGTCAGATTATCCTCAACCATATGACTCTCCAATCTCGGTTCTAGAAATCCCACTTCATACTTACAAGGATTTGTCTCACTGTAAGCGCCATCACTCTCCTCAGCAGTCTATTTCTCAAAATCCAAGTTATTGAATTCAGGATAGGGTGAGGCTGTCATGAGAACAAAACCAGCATAACTATCTTTCCAAGTAGTACAAAAGATAGAGGGGGTGAGAAGGAGTCCCCTCCTAGTGCACTCTTCATGATGGCCATGGGTATCCAAGCCTATTTTATTTCCAGGTCCCCCCACTGGTGTGAGGTAACTGAGGAATCTTACAGATACTTGCACACACACACACACACGCACACGCACACGCACACACACACATCTATAGTACAAATAGTAATTCTCATAAATTGTATTGTCTAAAGTTTAAACAACTTAAGACTCATACAGATAATAAATATTTGTCTGTTTCATAATTTGCAAGTCTGCCTTTATCCAGTAGAGTTGTTTCTGCTCATTTTCTTTCTCAATCCTTCCCTTCCCTTTTAAACTGTTTCTTTAGGCTGCCTGGATAAGAAATGTGTTCACTTTTTTCATTTAAAACTTTTGATGGCAACTTGCTTAGTTTCTAAAGAAACTCCTTGAGATTTGAAAGTACTTCTCAGCAAAACTTCATTAAATTTTTAGCCAAATGCCCTCCTATTCTTCTGTGTAGGAGATTGTGGGATGGAGAACAGTAGAAGGGTTGTCCTCCAGTTACAGATGAAAGGAAAGAGAAGCCACAAGTCCTGAAGATAAACTGGCTTGCTCTCACTATTTTATTTAAGGATGGACCTATTATTTGTTTTAATGGGTTGGAGGCACTTCTTTTCATTTTTTAATTCATTACAGACACTTGAACATCATTCTAGTTTTCTTGTAGATCATTGATACACCAGAAACACACACACACAGACACACAGACACACAGACACACAGACACACACACACACACACACACACACACACACTCCTACCCTCATTACCTGCTTTATTTTTCTCCATAGCACTTGTCACCATCTGACATAGTATAGATTTTATTTGTTAGTTTTGTATATTTCTCTGAGCTAGAATAAATTCACTAAGTAAAGGATTTTGGTTTTTTGTTCATTGCTAATACCTTGGTATCTAGAAAAGTGTCTGGCACATAGCATATACTCTGTTATTAAATGAGTTAATAAATTCTTTCAACAGTGCCAGGAGATGATTACTACTCCTCATAGATGAGAAGAAAAACACCACCAAAACCACCACTACCAATAACAAAAATAAAGCAAAACAAAACAAAACTGATGTAATGAGGTTAAATAACTATTCAAATATTTTTAAACATTAAACATTAAAAAATTCCCATTAATAAGAGAATGTTTAAATAATTTATGTATAAGAAAATAATGAAATAATATGTAGCTCTAAAAATAATGAAGACAATCTTTATATTCTGATATGGAATGATCTCCAAGATATGTTGTTAAGTTAGGTATAGAAGTATCGTATGTTATCATTTGCATAAAAAACAGAAAAATATACATTTGCTGGTATATAAATCTAGAAGAATATACAAGAAATGTTGATTACCACTGGAGATAGCAACTAGGTGACTAGAGATAGTTATAGGAAGGGATCTTGTCTCACTGTGACGGTTTGTACCTTTTAAATTTTGAACCATCTGAATGTGCTGCACATTCGAAAATAAAACAAAACAATAACTTGCTTAAAGTCAGACACCTAGTCAGAGACAGAGTGTGACATTTAAATTCATGACTGCCTGACTCAAAAGCCCATTTTCTTTCCACTAGCCCATAGTCTTTCATCGAGAAATATGGCAGAACGAACACATCTCATTTTTCTAGTGGGTGAATCTTGAAAGTCATCTTAAGTGTACAGGATGTGAAGGGATATTGCCATTCAGTCAAGTGAATTAACATTAATAATGTTAAGAGCATGGAAAACCAGTATGTGTATCTTTCTTGGTCTTCTAAAATCATTTCTTGTCTCTCCACAGCTGCTGGCTGGCAATTCCAAAGAGCAATGGTTTTATGACAAGTCCATTTTTGTGGTCATTCATTGTACCCGTGATCCTTATCCTCATCAGTAATGTCGTTATATTTATTATCATCGTAGTCCAAGTGCTGTGGAAAAATAACCAGAATCTGGCAAGGTAAGACTCCCAGTAAGTGGGAAGCTGCCAGGCATGACTCATCTATTATGCAACATGGCACTGTTCCTAGAAGAGTTTTCAGACTTAAAACAATGGCAGGGACATGTGGATCGCAGGACTGATTTTCTCTTAAATTTTCTCAGAAAGTGGATCTTCTCATCTTCCAACATCAGTACTACAATATCAGTCTACTGCATTACATAACACACTTTGGGCTATATGAGCCCAACTAAAACTAAAACCAAAGCCTTCCAGAAAAAAAAAACCCAGTCCCAAATATTCAAGAAATCATATTTGAATCACTTAAGAAATGAAAGGGTTGTGAATTGATGCTGGTCACTGTATTTTCGTTTTACAAACTGGTAGCTGTAGACAGAATTTTATGTGTGTTGCTTGAATCACATAATGACTTTATTTTTTTTAACTTAGTTGCAAATATATAAAAATTGGGAGATTTCACTTAAATTGTGTTTTTTTCTTTCTTGAAAAAAATTGAAACATCTGGCAACATTAAGCCCACATTCTCTACAGATGGGGCATCTGCTCTTTGCTTTATCAGTTTTTGTGTGGATGGTTTCTCTCCTTTCTATAACTTTTCTGACCCCAATAACATTCTCATTGTCATGCTGGATATACAGTAAGAGCTTTTAGTTGAAGAGACAAATAACAGAAACTATTAAACACATACTCACCCCCCGACCATCTCTCACAGTACAAATTGGTTAAAACACAGTACTAATAAGGCTATAAATTCAAGTTTAATTTTACAAAATTCTACTTAACCCAAATAGACTTACTGTAAACACATTTGTGAGCTTTGATAGTCATCAAATGAACTCATTTGGTATGAACAGATGGAAGAAAACAACCATCAATAGTGGGAATATAATCTTAAATATGTGCTTTACTGATCAAGAGTAAGTATATTTCTATACAAATGATAGTCCATTTGAGGGGAAATACAGGGAAAAGATTATCACTGATAATCCGTCAAATCTGCGTTTTATTAGCAATGTAGAAAAATCTTGGTGACTTCTTCTTAGACTAATTGCAAATTAGGTTATATTTCCTTTATACAAAACAATATCATTTTGGCCACATACATCAACCAAATTTATATTTCTAAATTTTGGCTAATAGCTCATGGTTCTTAAATTGGCTTAGTTATAATGAAAAGCAAGTTACAAGTTAATTGTTTAATAAATTATCTTCCATGTATCAGTTAGCTTTTGCTGCATAACAACTCCCACCCCTTAAAACTTAATGGCTTAAAATGACAAATATTTATTATTTGTCATAAGTTTGTTGGTTAGGTAGTTGTTCCGGTTTGGGCTGACATGAATGTGGATGGATGATCTACTATGCCTTACTTTCATCCTTGGTGGTTAGTGGTTGGTTGGTCTTGAGTGAGAGCTGCACAGTTGGGGAAACTCATCTCTCCTCCATGTGTTTTCTCATCTCCATTAAATCAGTCCAGGCTTCTTAAAATAGTGGTCTCAGAGTTCCAAAGAGCATTAAGAAAAGGCAAACTCTGTGAGCAAAATGCTTTCAAGTCTCTGATTGTGGAACAATTGCTAATGGCTCAGTGGTCAAAATAAGACATATGGTAGAGGCCTGATTCCAGGGATATAGACTTAGCATGAGAATAAAGAAGATCATTCAGCACATTAATAACCTTTCATTCCTGTATCAACCTACAGCATAGAAAGGTCCTAGTTGTTCAAAAAAAGAATTTCTCATGGGCTGATACAGCAGTAATAATCATTAAAATAAAATTCTATTCCCCCAAAAAGTTGATTCCTTGTGAAATTTGCTTGTATAAGGAACTGTTTATACCCGACTTTTTAAGTAGATATCACTGTATTTCTTAATAAAACTTTCTAAATCAGATTTTATCCAGAGTGACATACTAGCATCGTTTTTCCACCTGAGACATAATATTGTTAAATGAGCAATATATGTAAAAAAATATATATTAATCTTGGTAATATATTCTCAATAGGAGAGTAACAATGATATTCATAAATTAAAAAAATGAATGAGCCATATTTTCTATCTTGCTTTCTTTTACCTAGCACGAAAAAGGTTTCATCGCTAAAGAAGATTCTTAACACATTATCTATTGCAGTCATTTTTGGAATTACCTGGATTCTGGCATTCTTAATGTTAATTGATAATAATAACATCAGGAACATCTTCAGCTACATGTTCTGCCTTTTCAACACTACTCAGGTATGGTGTGGATTAGTCTAAAAGTAGCAGAATATGCAGTGGTGGAGACAATATTGCCTTGGACGAAAGTTTTATCCTTTTGAAACTCTCTGAAGGTCATTGCTCAGTTACCATTAGGAGATTCTCTTTTTGATAAACTTTGGGAGAATACAAAGGAAAGCTCTTTGTGACTTACCTATTTCGTTCTTTCCTGGGCTGAAGTACATAAATTGCAATAAAGTTGAACCTTATTAATTAATATTGATCAATTAAGGTTGAACCACATTAGTCCCTCTTTGAGCAGAAGAGATTTTTTCAAGCAAATAGCTTTGGAAATCCTTTCATTTTCTTTTATGTAACAGGTTCACAGCAGCTCCTCACTGTGGTTGGTATAGAGAATGCTACAGTTATTGCTGGAGCTTGGACCTGTGTGGGATGGGCAAAATTTTTTCTTTCTCTCTCTTTTTAAAATTTTGTAAGATTATTTATTTTATCTTTTAAAAAAACTTTATTGGAAATAATCAAGAAATATAATTGAGTATATTTAAAGTGTGAAACGTGATTTGATATACATATATATTGAAGAATTATTACCAAAATTAAAATAACTAACAATTCATCATATCACACAGTTAATTTTTTTGTGTGTGGTGAGAATGCTCAGCAACTTTCAAGTGTACATACCATCTTATTAATTAGAGTCGCCATGCTGTATGTTAGAATCCTTTGTATTCTTTGACCTACATTTCCCCCTACCTCCAGTCCCTGGCAACTGCTATTCTATTCTCTTTCTATGAAATTGGCTTTTTGTTTTTTTGATTCCACATATATTTGATACCATATAGTGTTTGTCATTCTCAGTCTGGCTTATTTAATTTAGCATAATGCCCTCTGGGTTAAGCCATGTTGATGTAAATGGCAGGATTCCCTTTTATTTTATGGCTGAATAGTATTCAACCATTTTATACATATATATGTATGTATGTATATATATATGTATGTATGTATATACAACACATATATAATATATATAGGCTATTGTGATAATGCTGCAATAAACATGGGTGTGTGGATATCCCTTCAAGATACTGACTTCATTTCCTTTGGATATATATACCCACGAGTGGAATTGCTGGAACATATGGTAGTTCAAGTTTTAATTTTTTGAGTAACTACCATAATGTTTTCTATAATGGCTGTATCAATTTAAATTCCCACCAAAAGTATATCAAGGTTCCCTTTTCTCCACATCCTTACGGACATTTTTTTATCACTTGTCTTTTTAATAATAGACATCCTAATTGGTGTGAAGTGATATCTCATTGTGGTTTTGATTTGCATTTCTCTGATAATTAACCTTTTCATGTACCTGTTGGCCATTTGTATGTTTTGGAAAAATGTTTATTCAGGTTCTTTGCCCATTTTAAAATTGGGTTATTTTTTTTTTCCTATTGCATTGATAAGTTCCTCGTATATTTTGGATATTAACCCTTTATTGGATATGGAGCGTCCAGATATTTTCTCCCTTCTAGAGGTTGTCCTTTCAATTTATTGTTTCCTTTGCTCTGCAGAAGCTCTTTAGTTTAATGTAGTCCTGCTTGTTCATTTTAGATTTTGTTGCCTGTGCTTTTGGTGTCTTGGCTAAGAACTAAGAAACCATTGCTGAAACCATTGCCAAAACCATTGTCAAGAATCTTGATTCCCAATGTTTTTCTTCCAGGGGTTTTATTGTTTCGGGTCTTACATATAAGTCTTTGATCCATTTTGAGTTAATTTTTGTGAGTGGTGTAAGTTAGTGGTCCAGTTTCATTTCTTTGCTTGTGGAAATCCAGTTTTATTAACATCATTTATTGAAGAGATTATTCTTTATGCATTGTGATTGTGTGTTCTTGGCGCCCTTATCAATTAGTTGACTTTACATGCATAGGTTTGTCTCTGGCCTCACTATTCTGTTCTATCGGTCTATGTACCTGTTTTTCATGCCAATGCCATACTGTTTTGATTACTATGGCTTTGTAGTATAGCTTGAAATTAGGAAGCATGTTTCTGGCTTTGTTCTTCTTCCTCGGAATTGCTTTGGCTATTGAGATCTTTTGTGGTTTTATGTGAATTTTAAAATAGTTTTTTTCTATATTTGTGAAAAACGCCATTGAAATCTTGGTAGGAATTGCTTTACATCTCTAGATTATTTTGGATAGTGTGAACATTTTCACAATATTAATTTTTTTTAACCCAAGAATACAGAATATCTTTTCATTATTTGTGCCTTCTTTAAACTCTTTCACCTATGTCTTACAGTTTTAAAAGTACAGGTCTTTCACTCTCTTGTTTAAATTTATTCCAGTTTCATTTTTTTATGCTGTTATAAATGGAATTGCTTTCTTAATTTCTCTTTCAGATAGTTTGTTGTTAGTGTATAGAAATGCAATTGACTTCTGTATGTTGATTTTATATTCTGCAATGTTGCTGAATTCATTTATTAGTTTTAATTGGTTTTTTTTTTGATAGAGTCTTTTGCATTTTCTGTATTTAAAATCATGTCATCTGCAAACAGATCATTTTACTTCTTTTCTGATTTGGTTTTTGTTTGTTTGTTTGTTTGTTTGTTTATTTATTTTGCCTAATTGCTCTGGCGAGGGCTTTCAATATGTGTTGCATAAAAGATGAGTGGGCACATTTGTCTTGTTCATAATCTTATATTTATTTTATTTTTTATTTTTAAATATATTTA